ATAAGGTGATAGATGGAGCCAATGACCGACATGTACCACTATTCAACATCATTTTTAAATTAATTTCTATTAAGATTGAGGATGTTTTGTATCATAGCACCACATTTCTTATTGGTAAGTGTCAATTATTGGGTATTCATTATTGGTGAGTGTTGATTATTGGTTAGTTAATTAGTGGATATTTTTATTGAATGAATCAGGTAGGTTCCCCGAGAAAAATAGGTAAGAAACCTTACGAGTTGCTCTTTGTAGATAAATATTTGTATGCAGGTAAAAACTGTGTGAAAGAGCTAAACAGACCACTCCCATGTAGAAGTTATAATATAATAGCCTTTGGTATAGTCAGTGTTCTCATTGTTACTATTTGGGTGGCTTATACCAGCCTATGCAGCCCTTCATCACTGCAACTATTATCTGATCTATTGTGATATTTTTTTATAGTATCGAGTGGCGGGACGAACAAGTTGTGCGCTTGACAGTAAGCTACACAACTGGCCATAACAATTGCATTGCCACTTGGACCTTTAAATAGCAAAGATCTGAGGGGTGCAGTGGCAGCCCGCCACATTGAGACACAAGTTGACAAGTCCCTACTGCAATGTCATAGCACCCTTCAAAACTGGAATCCAGTAAAGCTCATTGCTATATTACTGTTTGATGGCAAAAATAGGCAGGGTGGAGTTTCCGCTCTGCCCAACATTTATTATTTATTGTTTTACTATAGTTGTAAATGGTAAACTTGGAAAATCGACAGCGATCCTCAATCAATCGACCAATTGAATCCGTAAAATATATCCACAAAACAAATGGATTGTCTAACAAAGTTATATACTAGAAAATACTATCAGAAATAATAAAAATTAGTTCCAGTCAAGGAAAAATTTGTGTGTAATTGTGTGTATTTGCACAATAATTTTGAATGTATTTTGAATGAAAACAATAGTGGTCCTTCGAGGTCAATGCAAATAATATTAAATACATAGTTACTGACATGCATGTTACTCAACGAATCGCGATGCAACAGTTATTTCACTCATAAAGATCTATTAGCAGCTATGACATAATAACGAGAGCAAAAATTACTTCACCAGTAATATGACACCTGTTGAAAAGACAAAATGGATTTTGCATCTCACCTTCGTTTTTTTCGCGCTTTTAACAAAAACTACGCAGAATTTCACCGTCGAGTGAAACTTACCGCGGAAACTCGACTTTCTTACAGCTTATCAAAACTCGTTACAAGATATGAACACGTTTTGATTATTTATATTTTCCTCCGTCGATTTTTATAAATTTTCGTTCGTTGACGTTCATGTGACAGTTCATGACAGTTAGTGGTTGGTGACGCCGGTGACGGATTTTTTAGCTTTGTTTTTTGGCTTTGTGTACGACGGACTTGGTACGGAATTAGTACGGACGTTTTTTTTTTCTTATCTCTCTTGGCTCTATGATGTCAGAAACTATTGTTATCTATCATCAAGAAGAAGATTAGTGGGAGAGAGAAGTTAGTACAAATTGTCGAGGAACGTTTCCATAAACTTATGGCGCCATGCACAGACACATCGTTTTCGATTGAGTTTTTAGGTTTCGCGTTGGAAATCAAACTGTTATTTCGAATTTAAATCGCGTATTGTTTTTTCAAGCTAACCAACGGTTCGGATCCTTTGTAGGTAATATTCTCACAGCTGACATAATATGTACTCTTTGCGGCTGACTGAGATGGTAAAGTCATTAACAAGTTATGTCTGTTAATTAATGTAAACCACCCTATTCTGAACTATAATTACACAAAAGTTATTAATTTAAATACCTTATTTTTAATTCCCAAATATGATTATAATTACGAGTATATACAGGGTGTCCGGTAATGAATGTATCATACTGAAATGGCTTATAGCACAGCTTAAGACTGTTCCAAAAAAAATGCAAAAAAAATCTATCCCATGTAGTACCTAATAGTGGTCGAAAAGGCTCGAGCCTTTTAGCCCTAAATTTTAAGCTTGCGAGTCTTTTTTAAAGGCGGACTCACAAAAGAGTTCGAAAAGGCTCGAGCCTTTTAGAACTAAATTTAAAGCTTGCGAGCCATTTTTAAAGGCGGACTCACAAATCAGTAGTTCTAAAATTGCTCACTATAAAAGGGTTTGAGGCTTTTTTAGGCCGAGGCTTTTTTTAAAGCCTTTTTAGAAGACTGGCGTTAGCGGTCAAAAAGGCTCGAGCTTTTTAGCCTTTTTTTAAGACTCACCGCTTTATAGTGATGGCTACAATATTAATAATAATAAATGGATAATAATAAATATGTCACTACATATTCACACAACGCTATCTAGTCCCAAAGTAAGCAAACTAAAGCTTGTGTTATGGATACTAGACAACCGATAAACAAACATATACATTTATAGACACAGAACAAATTTTCATGTTCATTACACAAACATTTGTCCTCGGTGGGAATCGAACCCACGACCTCTGGATTAGCAGTCAGGATTACTAACCACTACGCCACGACGCCACTATTCTAAAAAGGCTTTAAAAAAGCCTAGGCCTAAAAAAAGCCTCAAGCCCTTTTTTAGTGAGCCATTTTAGAACTACTGTTTTGTGAGTCCGCCTTTAAAAAAGACTCGCAAGCTTTAAATTTAGGGCTACAAGGCTTGAGCCTTTTTGACGGCTAGCAAAAGCCATAAATACAATTAGCCTCGAGGGTTTGAGAGTCATTTAGCTTTTTAGCCTTCTAGCCATCGCTATAAAGCGGCGAGTCTTAAAAAAGGGCTAAAAGGCTCGAGCCTTTTCGACCACTAGTACCTAAGGAATGTTTTTTTTTCTTAAAAGTTAATTATTTTTATCTTATTTTAGGTTTTTGTGCACTATGACTACAAATGAATGAATTTATTTGGTTTTTTGGTGTCATAATATTCTACGGTAACTGTGTCCTTAGATAAGCAGTAAATGGTATGACTAAGTAATGTACATTTTTTTTTTTAAAGTTTAACTTCATTTTTCAGAGAAATAATTTATTTTATACGAAGTTTACGCGCCTTCTGTATAAAAAAAAAGTATGATAACCTGTGTGGCCAAGTACTTTAAAATAATGTAGGTTTAATGAGGATTTCAAAATGATATCATTTCTCATTGTATCTAATGTAAATATGAAATTATTGCTATTAATGTGCAAACGGAGTAAATTTTACTAAAAAACTATGTTTGCAAAATTGGAACATTTCTTATCCTGAATTGTTCTTGACTATTGAGTTTTGATAAAAAATAATATTAGGCATTAATAAAATTTTATTTAAAACTTATTTACAGCAAAAGTATGCAAAAATCCAATCAAAGTAATTTTTCAATTGTTGTCTTTAAAGTACCACGTGGGACCGTTATTTGCCACCTGCACGATAGCCACATTCCGCCCGTCTTTTGTTCATATGATAAGAAAGGTCAGAGTTGGACCAGAGGCAAAGAGTGACAATTAATTCATCAATTCATTAATTCATTCATCAGCAGAAATACTAGATCCCAAACTAGCCGTACGGAGCAACGATTTTCTCTGTTTAATTTCAATGACCTCTTGGGCATCTTGCAGCATCTTGGATAGGCAATACAAACATAATTATTTAATTGTTTTTCCAGTCCATGACATTTTCGTAGACTGCAAACATTTTTGTGCGACGGGTTTGACATCTGTCCAATATAAGAGAGGCCACATTTGCAGTCAAACTTATAATTTCCTGCATACTGTTACATTTCTCGAATATCAGGAACTTAGAAATCTTCTTCAGGGGCTTGAAATGGGTCTTGAGAGATGCACACCTTTAGACTCACATAGAGTATGATCAACAGTAGGTGGTTTCACATGACAACTGTGACACTGGCGTGGAATTTTCGGCTTAATTGCATGTAGGATTTGCTTTCCATGCTAACTTTCTCGTCCATAGGATTCCTTTCACACAAGCCAAGTGCTCTCTGAAACAAAGATTTACTCACGATGACTAACTAGTTAGGATGGTGGTAGGAATTGCCATTGAGGGACCTATCCAAACGGGTTATCTTTTTAAAAACTATGTGGCCTAACATGTAATCATGATTTTTTTTAATCAGAAATCAATGTTTTTTTTGTAATCAAATGACGGGACTAACAAGTGACATGCCTAGCCATAGCAGTTGCAATACCAGCCTAGAATTCCTAGTCCAAATGCACCTGAAATCAAGGTTGCCTAGAATGTATTGCCAGTATATATACTTTGCCATAAGGCAGCCTATTGTTCATTACCTCAGTTCATTAACACTGCTAAACAAATTATAATTATTGTAAATTTGTAACCATTACATTGTTTAATGGCATTTGCTTATTTCACGTTCCACAATTCCAGGAAATAATCTCATTATAATTTAAAGAAGCGAACAGAGTACTAGTATCAGGGTAGTCGTATTCCCAATGTACAAAGTTAATACTTTTTGAAATCATTTATCAATTAATCATAACTAAATAATGTTAATGACAGACCATTGTTGAAACTATTACTTAACCATATCACTGAAATGTTGTACATATGCCATTAAACGTCATTCTTTTATGGATGCACGTAAATGATCAAAACATAGAATCATTATAAAAAGTACGATTGATTCGAACTTGTTCTTTCGTACCATTTTAGTTGACTGAAAAGGAAATTATTTATTGTTTGTATCATATTCTTTACTTTTCCTATTGAAACACCACAAGCTACAAAAACAAGTCTTTGGACTTTTTGAAAACAACCATTTGTTGTCTTTTTTGAAGGTATCAGTTTCTTGTAAAAAATACAAGTACACGCTGTATATTATCAGTCGTGACTGTGACCTTTTTATAATAAACATTTTTTCATAATAAATAATAAATAATAAACAAATAAAAAATGTAATAGCAACTCTATGTACTTTCAAATCGTCTGAAAGCGTTCGGTTTTTACGTACACGAACACGAACTTTGCAGAGAGATACTGAGAAAATAGAAACACTGTACTTTGTGCTAATTAATTTCTACACGAAATTAATTAGCACAAAGTTTAATTTCGTGTAATACAAGAACCCTTTATGAAGCAAATCATTATTTTTGTCAGTTTTCTTTCTAAAGTGCTAGGCGCCACCTAGCCAGCTTTTTGCGAATTATTGTAAAGTGCAGATGTATTTCTGAAGTATTTGTCGTAGACAAAAATAATTCGGTTCAATGGCTTTATGGTATTACCGGAAATGAACTTTTTGGCGGCAACTTTAAATACATTTTCGAGTTTATTAGATAGCAAAAAAAACCCGAGCCCGATGCTATATTCGTAGAAAGTATGGGGTTAGGAGTATTTGAGGCAAACTTAATATTTGAAATTTTAAATTGTATTATAATGTAAAAAATAAATTAAAAAAGGATTAATGACGATTGATTCGAAGTTCGTTCTGAAATGCACGACCTTATAGTTTTGTGAGTATAGTTTTAATTTTGACATGACAACTTCATTTAATAAAAATCGGGTGGCGAAGAAAGGGGTTTTATTATTTTTATTTATATCTTACATATTTGCCATGGATTTAGAATATTATGTGATTATATTCTAAGTCTATGGGTGTTTCATACTTTGTTCTTTTTCAAGGTAATAATTAAATATGATATTTTTATATTATTTTAAGATTTTACTTCTAAGCAGTACACAGATTGCTTTTGTGTCATTTAGAATATTCTGTCTTACTGTTTAACTTCATTATCCGCTCACAACCACCGTGATTCGGCTCCAAAACCTTTACTTGAAATGTACGTACGTTAGATAACAAAATTTTGATGATGGGAAGAACTTTCACATGATTATGAAAACTATAAAATTGCAGAGCATTTTTGCATACAGCTGGAGTTTCCCATGCCGTGCGTGTCACAAAGGTTCTTTGGTGACTTTTTGATAATAAGCCAAAGGAAAAGCTATTACGGAATCACCCATAATTTTTGTCATTAGGCTTATATTCTGGGTCGGGTGGGATTGCCTTCGATGTTTATACAGAGTGTAACATAAAGGCCCGGCCGTAGTTTGCTGAGATACCTATGGTAATCGTAGTAACTGATGACAACTAATTTATTACACCTCGAATGCGCCCTTTTTGAATGGATATTTTTTTTCCAAAATTTGATTTTGTCAATTCGATCACTAACTGTAGAAGTATGTTGGGCATTTTTATTGCACCTGTTCAGTGATAAATAATTGTAATTTATTACCTAAATAATTTCCAAGTCTATGAATCTGAACGACATCAAGAAATAGATATTCCCATTCGACGATCTATTTTTAAAAAATATGAAGTGACGAACGGGACGAACAAGTTGTGCGCCTGATGGTAAGCTACACGCCTGTCCATAGCAGTTGCAGTGCCACTTAGTTCTTTAAATCGCAAAGATCTGAGGCGCACTGCCACTGCGCCCGTCACCCTGAGACATAAGTTGACAAGTCCCATATGCCTGTAATACTTAGACTATGGAAATTTTTCCATCCTCTAAGCTGTAATATCACCAGCACCCTTACCCTTCAAAACCGGAACACAGTATTGACATTGACATGATGGCAGAAATAGATAAGGTGGCAGTACTTTGAATGCTTTCACTAGGAGCTCTATTGCGACTAATTTAAACTACTAGTCTTTATTTCCATAGGCTTTTTATATTTTTCTTTACGTTCATACTGTATAATGTCATGCTAACATGATCTTTTATTTATTACAGATTGTTTAACTATTATTTAGATTTAGAAGGCTTTATACATAGAACATGCCATGGGACATAACAGAGGGTGAGCTCTTTCACAATTTCCTATCTAAAAATTCGACCTTCGCAATTTTTATGCCGCGCACAAATCGTTCTTTCTCCGAGGGTACTTAATGGTAGGGTGACTACGATTACAACATAAATTTAAAAAGTTGCAAATGTGGATTTTAATAACTGTGTGATTGTTCTATCAATAGTAGGTAACCTACTATCACCAGAAACCCAGCATTGACACTGACACATAAAGGGCTGATAATGACTGAAAATCAAATATCCGTTTGATGGAATAAAAATGCTGGTACCCATTTACTATAAAACGCATTCTATATTGCTCTCGTGATTTATCGACCACATGGGCCACTGTATAAATGAGTTTAGGCAATTTACCATTCGATCAAACAACTTTCGATTTCAAGTAGGGTATCTGAAAAAATAGATCGATAATAAAACACCCTTGTCATAACTTTGTAACTACTTGTTCAAAAAAGTGTTTGTAGTGTATGTTATTATGTCACCCTACACAAACGACGAGCGTGCTCCAATAACATCGTAATATTCAGATTCGTCATGTTTTTTATTGTGCCAACCATCACGAAGGCTTAGCGTTTGATATGCTTTCGTGATGGTTGGGAGTGTTCGGGAGTTCGTGAAGCCAATCAGTCAGTAAGTTGGGTAGGAAGTTAATCAACAATATGCAGCGGCCCTACGAGTCTCGGCGAGTTTTGCGTCCCAATAATATGAAGGAGAAATCATATGGTGGTAAGGTACAAATCACGATGTGTTGATAGGGAACACTGTTGACTTGCTCTAGGTACTTATACAATATTATGACTGATTTCTTATAAATCAGTGACTTTAGTACGGTGTCGCTAACGATTTTGGTGTGTAGCGTTCTAGAACCACAAGGTGTCGCGAGCGCAGCGTGTTTCCGTCCACTACTTTTTAAAATATTTTAAATAACAAAATTTTAAAATTGATAGAAACTTTAAAAAAATACGTTCTTAAATATTTAAATAGATTTTGGTATTTTTAAGTTTTTATACATTTTAAAATACTTTTTTGAAATTTAAATTTTATAAAAAAATCGTGGATGAAAACACAGCTGCACTAGAAACACCTGTACAGGGGGTCTACTCTCGACCTCCTTCCGGCATCCGTCCGAAACAATTACTGCCAAATAAGCAATGCTTGACCAAATGAAAAGACGCGTGATGCGCATGAAGCTTCAAAGTGGATACTTGTCTTTTAATTTTGTCGAATATTACTTATTTGACAGTAATTGTTTCGGACGGATGTCGGAAGGAGATCGAGAGTAGACCTCCAGAATCAAAATAGTAAGTCTCTAGGACTTAACTAGTTAATCGAAGTTTATTATTGACGAACAGATTTTGAGTACGTGGTGGTACAGCAGGAGGCTCCACAAATATGCTTTGGTTCAACACTGGAGAAGGAAACGCTGCCAATATCTGGGCCCAACTTGAGTTCATTTATGCGCCGTATTGTCGGTGAAAACTCTCCAAACCTAGGACCTGGAAGTCATGTTGATGGTCGCGACGCATTCCACGACGTCACACATAGAGTAAGAATTGACATTGTCAGATTTCACGATATTAACTTAGTAGAATAAAACAAGTAGGGTAATTCCGTACAAAATAACAGCGCGGCTTGTATGTACACACAACCACCGCGCGCCGTGTACAGACGCACATATTCGTATAATAATGACGCGTTGGAACAACCAGTGTTACGCACATTGCTAGATTATGCAAATGTCCGCGTCCGAAGCACGGCGCGCGGTGTACGTTCACACTTACATGTCTCGTTGCGACGTTTGTTTGTATAGAGTTATCATACTTGTTCTTATTATACTATGATATTAACGTGTACCTCTAAATGCCACTGTACAGAGAGATAGTTAGAGAGAGATTTTTGTTACCGGGAAAAAAGTCATAAATATAAAATTAATTAAAAAACATGAATGTATAGTTATACCCTTAGAGCATATAGGACGGGAGGCGCTATTAGCGTTATTTCTCGAATAAAACTTTCTGCCCCTTTTTGAGGGGCGTGGGGTAGTACTACAAGCAAACAGGTGCACTCAAATGCAAAATCGAATTGTGTCACAATGGTCGCACACAAACAAAAGCCTACAACACTAGCTTATTTTTACAAATACACAGATGAAACCCACATTCATGTCATATCCGTACACAGAATAGGCCTATAAAAATAAATCGATTCTCATGAATATACTAGAGACGGAAAGTTATCGACATGACGGTGACGATAAGTATTACATGCTGGATAATCATGTATATGAAAAATGTAATTCGACTCTTGGCTAGACTGGATGTAGTGAATTTCTTTTCCAATTTTGTGTGTAGTGTAACAGTGGTATTGTTTTACTTGTATTTGCCAGAGGAGATTGCCCATTGACTTACCAATAAATGTATGACAATAAATACAATTCAAAGTCCAAAAACCGCGAAAAAATTTCAGTTTTTTTTTCAGTTTATGGCTTTTCGCAGTCAGCGTTGGAACCAATGACAAGCATGGCCGGAGTTAACCTCTATAAACGTAGTGACATGAATAGAAATATTAAAACAACTAAAACATTTAATTTAAACTGTAAAGTCATTGCAGTATTGCTTAATTTTCTTTGCCACAAATTGAAGGCCCAAAAATTATCCATATTCAGCTTCTACTGGAAATATCAAATGCACCATATTTAGCTTATAGTGAAAACTACTTACTACTACTACTACTAATATTAATTAATTTTACAGTATTATGTTGAATTTTATACGAATTCACTTCAAGTAATAAGAATTATACGTGCAGATATATACGTACATAGAAATATTGTAAATGTGAAAATAGCCGTGTCTCTATGTTGGTGGTTATGACGTGCTGTAAGAAATGTATCGATGATACGAATTTCTAGATTCCAACTAGAAGTAAACTCCAAGTTTCATAATCTCTAAAACCGATTTATAACAAAACCTTTATGCTTTCAGGGGATTTTGGTAGCTTATTACAAAGAAAAGATGAAGTTAATTTGTTTTGTAATATTCCTAAAATAACCTAAAAAAGAACATTTGGGATTACAAAAATTCGAACAAACATTACTTCGGGCCAATGTATTTTCGGACTTCTGATTGATAACTCCAAATAGTAAAACGAATACAACAATATTTTGTTAGTTCTTTATTACTAACATTTAATAAAAAGTAATTTTAAAAATAAGATTAACATTAAATCAACTCTATAGTTTCTTTGTTCTAAATCTAAATATTTCATTCGCTTGTGGTTCGAAAATTGAAATTGACGTAACGGGTCTCTTTCTGTCTTTTGTAGGATAAGGACAGTTAGCTATTTGGTTTTTTTTTTTGCTTTCGTAATTTACGTGTATTGTGCGTATGTACTCGTATATGTAGTTTTTATTTTATTTTTTTTCTTACAGTACGGCATGATTTATGATGATTTATATTAAACAATTACAATTTATTTTCATTATGTATAAATTATTACATTATTATTGAATATACAATACGACGGAGAAATAAATTTGAATAAATTTCGTTATATTATAATCTGTCGATAAAAATAGGAGCTAAAAGAGCGCGTCGCTTCTCTGTAACGAAAAAATAGCCTGTTAGTAAATAGGGAACTTCATAGGCATCCTTATGTCAAATGTTCGAATGTTTTCAAATATTTTTTAATCGATAAATTGAATCAATATGATCATTGTGAAAAAATGTCATAAAATAGAAAATTAGCAATTAATGTAAAAAATAGGCTTATGTATGGAATGTAATTCCACCCTTGGCTAGACTGGATGCAGCAGAGATATTTTTGCAAGTTTGTATAACGCAAGACGACATGTTTCGTGGAGTACTTGACGTGGTGAATTGAATGAATGAATGATGTTTTATTTATTTCTCAATCACAAAAATAGTTGTTTTGTGCTTGTACCTTGACAGAGGGGATTGCCTATCGATGACGCCTCCAGTCCTATATGCTCTAAGGTTATACCTATGTAATAGAAAACATCTACGTTCGGCCACCCCATAACAAAACCTAATAAATATTTTGGACAAAATGTTACAGGAGAGCCCAAAAACACAAATGAAGGTCGCCCTTTACCTTTTACATAAAAAAGTAATAGCACGGGTAGGTTATATATAACAGGTTAAGTAGGGATACCATATCAACGAATATATTGATGTCACAAAAATGATCACAACTTACATATTATTACATTTTTACCCTTTTACTAACTTTAAGTATTTAAGCATTAAGTAAAGTTAACTAATAGTAGCCAGAATTAAAACACAGTTTATTTACTGTATTAGAAAATTTGGAATAAAATTTGATTTTGTTTGACGATTTAATGATGATTTGGCCGGATACCGGGTATCCAGCGAGCAACTAGGTCGGATAGCCGGCCGCCGGATATCTGACCCACTGCCGTAAACACGTCGCGACCAGCTTACAGCGCGTATCGCCGTGATTAATTCATTATTAGTGAATTATTGCACTTTTAAATTGACGATTTGATTTGATGATGTCGTTTTTGTAAAAGGATTAATTTATTCGATAATACAAACAAATACACAGCAGAAAAATGTTAACAATGAAAAAGTGTTTCTAGTTGTTATGAGTATAAGCTTTTTTTGCTGATTGATACTCCATTTACTAGTTTGTTTCAATCTGATTTCATAAATTTGTTTGTGATCTAACTAACCTAAACCTTGATACCAGGTTTGCCAAAAAATATATTTAAATCTACTTACACGTTTCATTATTGTAGGTATGTACCATTGACCTTTGGTAGGTCAATGGTATGTACACATTGTATATATGACAACAGAAGATCGATAATTATTTGAAGACAGTTCAAATCGACTATGATAGCGATCCTTTCATTTGGTCGTGTGGCAATAACGAGTACTTATAAATTAAAATTTAACAAAGTTTGCAAGAGTTTATAGTCAAAAACTCTCCTCTGAAGCTGGTCTCCTTAATTAAAATAAATAGAACCGATTTTTACCACCTAATGCAGATGGTCTTCATCCACCATAATTAGCTTTTAATGAAATTTGAGTACCAAATTAGCAGATAACGTTATCTAACTTCATAGTTCTTTCAGTTGTAATAAAATAATGGTTAATGATCGTGTAGTTGCTGTTTATCCTATTACTATCCTTTTTGATCAATAAATCAATTTATTTGATTTACTGATTGTTAATTTTCCTCAGTTTTAAATATTCGGTATCCGGATATTGTTCTACTATCTGGTGGCCGGCCGGATAAACCGGATACTTACCGGATATCCGTTTCATCTCTACTCAATTTTATAATATATACATTGGATAAAGTTCACTTTAGATTCAATTTAATACGATTGATTATCATCCAATGTTCAGATATATTTGGTTAGTGTTCATGTCCTACGTGAGAACTTATTTGGCAGATGACCGTACGCATTTCAGTTATTTTTGTTTATAAAGGATTGATTTTCTATTTCAACGAGCGTAAGCGATTACCTGCAGAAATACGGCAAATACGGACTCGGGCCGCGAGCACCGCGGTTCATTGTGAAGCACGAGTACCAGCCTCCATGGCGCGAGCCACCTAAACCAGGACCCTGGCCACAAAACTGTGCACCTTTCAATTCTACTGCCAAGAGGAAGAGTATCTTCAAATCTAATGATAATCCCTCGTGAGTTGACATCCATGACTGCAAATCACTTCATAGATTCGTATAATGCTATATGGTTTAACATCTTATTCTATGTGGAAGGATTTTTTTTAAGAATTCACATCACATTTTATTGAGAATAAGCCGGACAGAAGAAGCTTTATTCCAAAATGAGTGAGAATAAGACGTGTGGTGCACGACGACGGCTGTCCGCACGGAAGCGATACACGCTATGTCATTTTCGCTTTTATTGCATGGACATAGGACTTTTTCTAATCGGCTATAGCCGATTCCTTATTAATAATAATAAGTGTAGGGGCTCACTTAAGGAGAAAATAAAACTTTTTTTTTTTTTTTTTTTTTATACATGACAGGCAAATGACTCCACTCCACCTGATGTTAAGTGGAAAGTGGTATCCAAACGCGAAGGAACCTAGTGCAGCGATGAAATCCTCACTGCACTAGCTACCTGATTTCCAGGGGACCCTAAATCTAACTTCGTGTGCATTATGGCGTTACCTAACGTACTAAGGTGTAAAGGTGGATTCACAATGAACAAATTCTGGCAATATACTGCTAGAATTTGTGCATTGTGAGTCCACTTTAATAATGGTTAGGGAGGAGTCCCTAATTATGGTGACTTTATTACGTATATAAAACGCTTATTACACTATCGGATCTCAAGGGCCCGGCGTCAAGGGTGGGCGTGGTCCCTAGTTTGGGCGCCATTTATTAACTTAGGTTACATCATTATTAGGCCCCGTACAGTATTCGGCCAGTCTAGCACGCTCTGACTTGTGAGGACTTCACATACTTAATATATGAAGACTTTTGTGAATTTTCTCCGACATATATTTTTCTGTTGCGTTTTAGTACGTAAGTATATGAAATAATGATCATTTATTGCATTTATTTTAGACCTTGTGATACCAGCCCTGTTTATAAGAAGAAGCAGATTAAATTCGCCTACAGTTTTCAGGGTAAAAAGTCACTGATTTGCCCAGTCGTGGTAAAGTATCAATAGTCTTCTTGCACTTTTCTATACCTTGCAAGCTAGAACGACTTCATGACTTCATTGTTAATAATGACCTTGTTGACAGATGAAATGTGTGCCCTACAATTTGGATCAGTGCGGGGCTTGCGGGTGTTTTTGCTCTGCGGAAGGTGATTACTGGGCGTTTGAGAACCGTATCTTCCTCTGCAGAAGGCATTATAACAAATTTTTCAAACATTGCTTGTCTAAGTTCCAAGGAGCAAAATTGGCTGATTTTAAGGTAACATTTAATACGTTGCAATGAAATCTCTAAACGAATTTGTTTTAAAATGTTTTGTTTTTTGTGCAGCCGATAAGGGATTGTTTCTTCGCACATGCGCACAACAGCTGTAAGGCTGCTGTCAAAATAATGTCGAAAGAAGACATCACGAAGAAACTTCGAAAGGAAGCGTACCTTGACCTTTTCTTCCCAATGAGGCGGTTTTGCGACATCTAAAGTTCACATAAGGGCTAATTCTTTAAGCATCTATGAACTGCAGTATTAGGCGTAGAAGTATTTTGTAAATCTTTTAAAACTTTATGTGTCAACTCTAATGCTAGCAACCCCAGTGAGAAGCAAAGCACGGAAATTGGCAACACCGTTTACATCAATCATCTGACTGCGACAAGAGATTTGTGTTATCTTTCGTATTTATTATTTATTTTCATAAGGAATCAATAATTCAGAGCTCGTGAAAGTCAATATGAAGTTGGATTCAAATAATAAGATGATAAATAACGAGAGTGGAGCGGAAACACCCGAAGATGTGGTGGATCCGCGGCAGAACGCAGAGGATCTTATTGACGAGATACTGGCAGAATTTACCGAGTCTAGGTCGCCGCCTGATGCAGTGAGAAACGGCAACGGGATTCCGGACAACTTGTTCAGCATGATACAGCCACCACGAACGAGAACACCCGCCAATTCACTCTCGGAAACAGCCATAATAGACGATATCGACCCAGCGTCGGATCTCGGTACATCGATACGAAACAAATGCCTCGAACTCGAAGAGATATTGCAGAGCCTCAAATCGCGGCTGAACCACGTAGTGCTGGATGAAAATATAGTCCTCAGCCCTGAAGCCAACTCACTGGAAGCCCAACTTGAACATGACATGGATACAGATTGCCAGGAAGACATTTCCCTTCAAGAGTTTCTTGAGCTTCTCCATTCCCAAAACAATATAGGCCCAACTGGTGTACAGTGATCATTTAAAAGACAATTAACAACTGAATTTACTACTATAATTATATGACAAATTACATGAATTTATTGTGTGCAAACTTGAGATTAGATTTTATTGGAATATTATTAAAATTCAGGCCTACTTGAATGTCTGTTGTATTATTTGGATAATTAGTTACAAGGAAATACTGATTAAATAACGAGTGCATTTATTTTTTCTTTATTACTATAATAACATAATATATAACATACTTATAAACATTTAATATTGAAATGCTCTTCCAAATAAACATGATAAAGGAGGAAAATGAAATTTCACATTTCATCAAACATATCATTGATTGTGGATGGAAGATTCAAATCTGTGGAGTTAGGTATTGTATCATTGTCATAAGCTTGACTATCATCATGGCCATCTTCTGTTTCGTAAGTACTCAATGGATTCTCTCCTTTCAAAATAAAGCTTAATTGCCTTTCAGTGATGAGATCAATCACTTCTTGTTTCTTGCGGTCAACTAATGCAGCCCTAAACTTCTGCAACCAGCTGTTGTAATGTGAAGGCTCCACCTTAACACACTCACTTCTGAAGAAACTCATAGCATCTAATGCCTTGTTGTAGTTTCCATCTATGTTGTAATAAATGAGACTTTCAATTGCATCAGTCATGTCTGGAGCTAGATCACTTAGTTTTTTATCTTTGTTAGAGAGAGCTTTGTAATCCTCAATAGGATCAATTGTTCCAATCCTTACAATTTCATTAATTTTCTTGGGCATTTGAAGTTTGGGAGCATCTGCAACACTACTATGACTTTCGTTATTTATTAATGGGGCATCCAACAGTTTCATTGGAACATTGTCTAATTGTATATCATTATTTTTCTTGTTTCTAGTTTTCACTTCAACTTCATTCAGTGTAAATAACCGCTTCAGCTTTTCCAAAGGTTCTCGCGACCTTTTCTCTATCAATGGAGGTTGCTTGAACAACATCATAATCTCATCTCTGGGTTGTGGTAATGGTTTTCCTGGGTTCATAGCACGGAATGCTATACAATCCAATACATATTGTGCTGAAGGACTAACAGTTTCAGCTATAGGAAATGCCTCTGCTTCATCAAAAGTCTCATCATAAGCTTTCGTCAAATCCATAGCATGAATGAGGTCTTTGAAGGCATTAACTTGCTCATCTGTAAAAGCAAACTTTTTAAGATTGGTAGAAGGGAATGCTATGTTCTTTATATCCTCTTTGAAACACACCTCTGCCATGGATAAGCAGATAAAATTGTTAGTGTCAATAACGGGCATCACAGCAAACATTTTTGGAGCATTGCCATTGTTGTACACTCTCCTGACAAGACCAACTAGTTTTAACTCATGGAGGCACTCAACGAGGCACCTGACAGCCTTTTGAGCGTTTTTGTTTCCTTTCCTACCAAATATGTATTGTAAACCATCTCCACACAAAGTTTGCCAGTTGATGTTAGTAGCGTGGGTGAAACCATAGACGGATAAACATTTTGAACCTGATTCATACTGCATTGTTTTGTCACATTCACTGAACGGAATAACAGTTTGTCCATAGTTATATCCTTTTATGATGTTGTCTTTCTCAACAACAGTTTGATTATCTTCATTGACATGATGTGTATGTCTCATTATACCTTCTGAAGTGCTAGCTGTGGAGGTTACTCGATCTTTGACAGCTTTGAGCCAATTTTTTACAACAGGCTCATCTCTTAATCTGATGTAGACAGATACAGGGACCTTTATATTTGGTCCAATACTCAGATCAACATTCCAAGGCATAGGATTTTTTAACCTTTTTTTGTGGAAGAGTAAATACTGCATAATATGATGAAATGGTTCTGTGGCTCCATTTGTTATTGTTACAAACTGTTTTGCCAGTTCAATATCATTGCTGTCATGGCTTTCATCATATATATCTGGTCCAATGATGTCTATTTCAAAGTTATCCTCTTGTAATCCATTGAGTACCTGGGAAGCATATACAAAATTTATTCTGTTGTGTAATGTACAGAATTGACATTGTAATTATTATGAAAGTTAACATTATTGCTCATATATGTAAATAAAAAGATGTTCTTGACAAGGATAAAGAGAAAATTTTTAGAACTGAAATTTCAAAATTGTTATTAGAATCACTCATAGGAAATGAAACTATTTTTTTGGATGTAAATTGTGTATTATTTGTTTTTTTTAAACAAACACATTGTACCCTTTACAGCCACCTGTGACCACGGGACCTGTAAAGAGCCCGAAAATTTGTTTATTTTTTTGGTAATTGGTTTGTTTGAAAAAATAAATACATGCAATTTAGATCTGAAAAAATAGTTATTTTCTACATGTAACAATAGCGAAAATCTAAGAACTCAAACACTAGCTCATGTAAAACAGATTCCAGAATTAAAGGTACCTGTTCTATATCATTTGAATCAAGCTCCGTGGGGCATAGGAAGTTAGTCATCAGTACAATCTTCTTACTGGCTATCTTGACTCCACTGATACCATTTTTTAAATGGTCTGCAGCTACAATGATAGCTTCAATCCAGTCACCACGAGTATTTGTTGCCTAAAAACAAACATTGTAAATATGTATTATTTATTTTTTTATTTATTTATTACAAATATAACTTAAAATAAGGTACATAGTAGAAGTGGTGTCTCATAAACCTATTGCAGGTTTTTCTGTACACCACTGCTTGATTCATAATATTAATTAAAATGAACATGAGGGTAGAAAGATATTCCGCTCCGATATTATATTACTGCACATTATACGGGGTGCTAATTTAATACTTGTTAGCATGGTTAGATTTTAGTAATTTAAGTGTAAATTTAGCTATAGATATTAAGTTTTAGTGTAATATGTGAATTAACATAATAACCTATTGGGTTAGTTCGCAAATTTTTTGGCTCACTACTCACTAAAGATTTAAAATTTCAATGCCCACCACTACAAAAAATAATTGGAAACATATATTTTTTGTGTTAACACAAAACATCACAATGAAAAAAATTATACATAAGTAGTGTACTTTATTAAGATTTTTTTTCAAATGCATTAATACCCGCCAGCCAGCATCAATATCCCCAATTGCTTCCGAGTCCCCTATCACCCACACCCCCTAGGACTCTGCAGCGCCCATTGAGGACCACTAGGTAGGGACCGCTTTGGGAAACCCTGTGTTAATATATCACTACTAACACTTTTTGTGTATAGAATTCAAAGTGGTAAACTGTCAGATTATTCATCAGATGGAACAGTTACTGTGACCTATAGACATACACAAAAGCATAGTCAGTTTTGGGGCAATAGGTAGAGCCTTCTATATCTGTGATTGGCCAGCTGGAAATAGACCTACCAGTGCCTATGCCTATCTGTGGCGGTATAATATACTCTATGGTTCAAGACTTTTCATATTACTTGAAACAAACTCTCATACAAACACAAAAAGCCAGTAAATTTAAGAATACAGTACCACAAGTACTTACTATCTCTGGCAAACTCCTGATCATCTGCCAATTTGGAGATTGAAGTTCATGAAGTAATTCTATCCTCTTGAAGGCGCCCGCGCACTGTTCAGCCATGTTATTCTTCGTTTTTTTCGAGCCCAACAGAACAATTCCCAGAAGATTCTTCCCTTGACTCATAATTTTTCTCTCAATAATCTTGGCCGCGCATTCCCGCGCTTCCGCAACGAAGCTCTTCTCATTCTTTTCCTCTGGTGTTCCAACATTCCGACCTACGTCGAGGATAATCACGATGCCTTGGTCCACTTTAGACATTTTTGCTGTTGGATTTTAGCACTTACATTAATTGGATAACGTAACACGCGATTAGTAAAGTAGCAATTTGTATATGTTATCTTCAATTTAACGCACCTTCGGCTGTGAAAGTGCACGCACAACTCGAATAAATAATCACGAAATAAATAACCCTATCAATCAAAGCGAGATGCGCAAGTAGCGCAACACAGAGCTTCCGATACCGGCCCGACAGACAACAAACAAACAAGAAAAGAAACAAGTTCAAACAAGTCGAGGCAAAGCACAAATTAGAAAGATATATGCGTGACGATTGATGATTGTTGACGATAACGTTTTTTTTTTTCTTATTTCTCTTGGCTTTTCGCGGTAAGCTTTTAGCTACTTACCACATTATTATTTTTTTAATTTATTAAGACTTTGGCAAAGCCATCAGCCTAAACATGAAGTTTAATTATGTTTCTGTAAATAATGGCCGCCACAAAGAGGATAGGCAATTTGAGGCGGCGTGCTTGGATTAACTCGGGATTCCTTAAACGGGCCGATACGGGTATTTTAGTTTGATATTCGTATAATTTCGCGTTTTAATCTTCGATTAAGGCACAATAGCACTAGCCTATTCCACTTTAAAGTAGATTTCACAAAATAATTGAAAGTCAAAATAAAAACGATACTTTTCCCTCCAACAAAGAGGATCTAACCAAAAAGGTCCAAAGCGAATCTTACCACATTACATAGACAGACTACTACTGTGAACCTTCTGTGAACTATTGGTTTTTTTATGGCTCTGGGTACAGAGTAGAATGACCAAAGAATATTTATATTCCTTTCAGACCGGGCTGCTCCAAAACTACAACGAATTTATTACATCTGAATATGTGCTATAAGTAATTGGGGGTCGCAGATTTTAAATCTGGTGTCGTTTTCGCAATTTTCCGACGCCATCTTAGAAAAATTAGATACCAACATTTGTATTATTCTGGGCCCTTCATTTCCTAACTACGTATATCCATACAATGTATCGGGTTGGGCCAGCCATTACCCATAAACAATTTAGTGTGGGCCTAGCCATTCATTTCCCTAATTTATATTCAAAATTAAAAAAAAAACAAAATTCAGAATAATCTATAATTCATATTCATATTCAGAAGTAAGCATTATTACCAATGTTGGACGTTAATCAATTAAATTTCAATCAGATTAAAAAATCAATTCAATCAATCAATTCAATCAAATTCAATCAATCAATCAATTGCAATTGATTTAAATTGAATTAATTTTAATTGCAATTAAATTAATAGCAATTAATTTTTTTAGTTGTTCTAAGAAACAATTGAAACTAAATTGTAATTAAAACCGAAACGACCTAATAAAAGTGTTATTGCGAATATGGGTTAGGGGGTGGATTAGACGGTGGGTTAGGGGTATGTTAGGGGGTCGATTATGGGGTCGGTTAGGGGTTGGGTTAGGGGGTCGGTTAATAAATAGTTCGGTTAGGGGGTCGGTTGGGGGCCGGTTAGGGGTCGTTTAGGGGGTCGGTTATAGGGTCTGTTAGAGGGCCGGTTAGGGGGTCGGTTAGAGGGTTGGTCAGGGGGTTGGTTAGGAGTCGGTTCGGGGTCCTTTAGAGGATCGGTTAGGGGCTCGGTTAGAGGGTCAGTTAGGGGGTCGGTTAAGGGGTCGGTTAGGGGGTGGGTTAAGGGTGGGTTAGGTGGTGGGTTAGGAGGTAAGATGGCGGGCACGATTATTCACATAATGGCAAGTTGGGTATCGTTTTCGAGGTATTTGGGGGTGCTCATTACTAATATAGAATTTATTTCTAAATCCAAAATGGCGGACACGACTTTTGAAGTAAATGTAATATGCGTATCAATTTAGAGGTATTTGGGGGTGCTCATTACGAATATGGCACTCACTTCTTAATACAAGATGGCGCGCACGACGATCCAAATAATGGCCAGTTGGGTGACCTAACTTAACCTAATCCACCCCCTAACACACTCCCAAATCCCGTCAGGAGCTCAAAAAAATATCGTTGCCTATATTTTGTGTGAACTCCTTCACACATGTTCGTGTCCGGACCGGGCGCCGGGACGGGCCCGCAGTTCATACAAACTAGCACGCCCCGGCCACGTCCCTGATGTTTGTGGATGGTCCTCTAGTAGTCAAAATTGGAATGTCAGTAAAAAAAATTCAAATATTTTAGCAACTTCTGCGTCTGTGTTTACAATTTTGTCATTAAATCTTAGTTGAAAATCTAAGTTACGAGCTTTGACCCTTCCAGTTTCGCTGTTTATAATATTCCAAGTCGTTTCTACTACATTCGCGCTGCTTTTAATTTTATTATTTATAAACATTGCTTCGGCTGCAACACAAACACGTTTTAACATTTTCGAATATTTCCTCAGAAAATCATTAAAACTGTTACTAGTGTTATAGGTCCTTTCATCGTAAAGATCATATAGCCTTTGTCTACTTTTGTGAATTCCCACAGTCGCCCAATCACTAAATTTCAATGAATTATTAATAGTTATGGTTTTGGAAACTAAAAACATAATCACGTTCACTTTTCACTATGTTATAAACTGAATTATACAATTTATTGGGATCGGTAACGTACGAAATGTCAGTTAGTTTAAGCATTACGTTATTTCTATAAGCTTTAAGTCGACAATTATTTATCGGAACACATGTGATATCCTTTTTTGGCATTTAGTCAACAGTTATATTAAAAGAGGCCAATTGACCACATGATCAGAAGTTAATTTATTTATAATAGATTTATTACTCGGTACGGCGTTAGTATAATATTGTCTAAACAAGTGGCTGTAATAGAAGTTATTCTAGTAGGCACCAAGAAAAGATTCACAAGATTATAACATTGGAAAAATGACATGAGCCTACTGCTAGCACTGGAATCTTCTAATAAGTTAACATTGAAGTCAATACAAATAGCAATATATTTATTTGGATTATTTAATTTGCCTAAAACTTCATCTAATCTTTTTTCAAATAGTTCGTAAGATGAATGAGGGGTCTGTACACGCTTATTATAACAAGCCGTTCAAGCTCTATGCAGGATATATCTGTAGTCCGCTCAATAGATAGGCTCACAATATCTGTACGTTCTTTAAATTTTAAATTATTTTTAATAAGAATTAAACAGCCGCCATGAATAGTTTTTTCTCTGCTGAACGAACTAGCCACCTGGTAATTGTTGAAGTTAAACATGATAGAAAGTTGGATTAGATAGTAAGTTGTGCTCGGTAACACAAAGAATATCAATAATATTACAGTCAATAAATAATTCTATTTCTAACTCTTTGCCTTTCAAGGTAGTCTATTTAAAATATTCATTTTATTTATAAAAATAAAATAATTTGTTGAAAAAAACTCAAACATTTCTTCTTACAAAATTAATCGACATCGACAAATAAATCATCAATTTATATTTTGCATGCGTTAGAACATCTCCTGAAGGACGAACGCCTCTTGTAGTACGGGTTTGCTATAATAGGCCTGCTTCTTCCTTTTCGATTCGCTCAAAGGAATATTGTCATCTTTGCTGTCTTCATCGGAGGCTGAAGAAGAGAAGGTAGCATCGTCCATGACTTTATTAGGGTGCAGGTGCACATACTCTTCTCTCGTCATCATCACTATCGTCTCCTGAAACACATACTATTTCTGCGATAGCAGTAACGCTTAAAATGTCTACCATTATTAAATAACTATGAAAAATATAGAGATGAAGTTAGTTTTAACAGACGCGAAAAGTAACGTACGGCCCAGATTGATACAATTGTGTAGAAAAAATTTGAAACGCCACCACAGCACTCTTTTTTATTTATTTATCGGTGTACGTGTATTCAAAACACTGATATATCTAATGGATCAACAAATAATAATTAGCTATACTCATATAAATACGTAGGAAATGATACTTACAATCGCCAAATCTGAAGTCACAATTTTCCACCAAACAGAACGTGCCCGAAACTGTTGGTTGACTGACGTAGGCGCGATATTTACGCGGGAGTTTAAGGCCTGGTTCTTGCTCTCGCTTAATCGTCAGTACGGAGCTTCTATGGAAGCTAAAGAACATGTTACGTAGACATATATAAATCAGACGTTATATGCATATGATGCATTTCGATGTCGAAAACATAAACATGTCTTTGTCTAACTATTACGTGCCGTCTTAAGCCAAAAGAGATAGCATTACATTGGTCTGTGTTAAACACGGGAATCGAAAATACGTAACGTCATCTTAAATGCCAACCGTGTCCATTTCGCAGTACATGAGGTAAATAATACCGTTGTCAAAGGGAAGTACATCAAATGTCAAAAGAAATGTTTTTCCAAATGTACTATTGAATTATTCGCATGTATTATAATTAAATTGGACAGAAATATTGACAGTGAGATTAAATAAGGTATTAATAAAAATGCGACGCTGCAGCATTAAGGGATGTGGCTTTAGAAAAAGCGCAACTCAGACGAATGTTACATTGCACAGGCATGTGTTACTGTTTTGTCTATAAATCACACAATAGCCCAAATATTTCATGTAATTAGACTTATTTAAGTAGTTTATTTATAAATATTGCCAAATTTTGCTTTTGTTACTTTAGATTGCCTGTTTGTTTGTATATTTTGATGATTGTTGTTAACGATTATTTTGAGATAGTGTTGATCTTGTAAGCATACATATTATCGATATTCTGTTATTAAAACAATTCACTACGAGGTTTTTATTGTTTATTATTATTATTTTTATTATTTCAAGTTTTCCTACAAAAGAAGAAAGGAAGAAAGAATGGTTGGAAATAATAGGACTGCCAAATATAAACGTTGGATCAAAGACCTTCTTCATTTGATCGCTTCATTTTGAAGAGTCAAATTTTAACAGAACTTTGAATGTAACTAGATTACAAGACAATGTTATTCCATCATTAGGTTTTTCGGTAAATAATTTCATGTTCAATTTAGATTAAACAAGACTCATTACTAGTTATTCTTGAATTGAAAAATTACTTTGATTGGATTTTTGCTGTAAGTAAGTTTTAAATAAAGTTTTATTAATGCCTAATATAATTTTTTATCAAAACTCAATAGTCAAGAACAATTCAGGAAATTTAAAAAAATGTACATTTTGCATTTTTTTTGGAACAGTCTTAAGCTGTGCTATAAGCCATTTCAGTATGATACATTCATTACCGGACACCCTGTATACCAGTAAAGTAGGTATAATTTAGTAAGAATGCGCATGTCGCCAACAAACTGCACATCAGTTTGGTGACTTTTACTAAATAAATTACCAGTTGTAATGTTGAAAATATTTTTTTTTAAAGTTTAAAAATGTGTGTTGACATTTATAATAATATACCACTCGAGATTAAATTATTAGACTTGTGTTTGTTTAGGCATGCTTTGTTTACAGTAAACTAATGAAACAAAAAAAAAACAGTTTCAACATTCAAGCCATACATTTGCATGTCAATAATGACTTATCGATAGATTATGGTACAACACTAAAGAAATCCGCTATTTGTAACTTTCAAATTTGGGATATATGCACGTTGATTCTGTAGTTAGGGCAGCTCCTTTGTTTTATTTTTTTTCCATCCTCTAAGGTACGGGGCCTTAGAGGATGGAAAATAATTGGTTTTCATAGTCTAACCTAGAGATGGTTGGTACTTGGTACTTGGTGTAACGGCTGGTGTCCGCAACTAGAGTTGGTTAATATATAATATAATGCAGTCATTTTGCCGAGTCACAATAAAAAAAAAAAAAAAATATATAGCTCAAATTATAACGTTAAATTAAAAACTAATTACAATTAAAATAGCAATTATAATTTGAAAGACATAAAGGTGCTACAATTATAACGAACTTATTTCACTTTGGATTGGAGTACTTTAAGAAAATTAAACCAAATGCGATCTAGCGACATAATTTTTCAATACTTCAATGTCATACCATCAATCTATCCGTGCTTTACTTACGCAGCTAACAAACAAAATCCTTCTTCGTCCTGAGTTATCTCCTTTAATATTTCATAGAATATTCTATGTGGAAATTGCGGCTTTTGTCATTGGTTGAAGCAATTATAACGTGAAATACTTTCACATATTATTTGTAGCATTTAACGTTTGGTGCGAAACGCGAAATAGCTGATTGGTTTATTGATGTTAAATTTCACGTTTGAGTTTGAGTACGCTAAGCGCTAATGCTATATTTAGCACTTAGCAAGTATTATAATTGTACTTATGTTATAAATTGTAATTTTGGATACGTTTTAATACGATTTTGAGCTAATGGTGGAACGTTAGCAAAATTTCGTCTGTTGAAGCAATTTAAATTAAGATAATATATTGCCACTAGAAAAACAAAATTTATGAAGATTTCACAGCAGTGACGAGAGAGAGTGTGATAGAGAAAAAAACCTTTTTAGTGGCTCCCATGTTTTCGTTCTGTAGCATCCTCTAAGTTCTGTAGCTTCTACTGTTGACAGGTGTTAACGTCAAATGTAAAAAATAAAAGGAAAAATAAAAATATCGTATTTATTATTTAGATTTCTGAAAAATATTGGATAATGGAAATTTTTGATAAAATGGGAGTATGACTATGATAATATTATATATATGTATTTATATATATATTTTGGATGGTGCCAAGTTTTAATAGTTTTACTGAATTACTTGTATCCATAGTCATAAAATAAATAATAATAAAAAAAATACAGTGTTATTGGTTATTGTTGTTCAAATCGATGAATTCATACATTTTTTCATCGGTGACTATTTTGGATTTTGAATTAAATTATTGTTTTACGTCGTTCATTAAATAACAACAGGAGTTAATTGTTTATTTTCTGCTTGTTATTTTTAACGGCATGACCGCCAGACGTTACCGAAACTCGAAACTTGAGTTTTCGTCTGTCAGCAAAATGTGAAAACAATTCAAAGAATTTAAATAAATATGTGAAAGACAGCTAAAAATCTACGCAAAAATGTTTTCGCCGTTTGCCAACAGGAGTAAGATCATGTCTGAAATGATGAAATTCTCATTCCATCATCGTGCATTTTACTGTTATGTGGGAATGAGCTTATGGATATTTTTCCTTATCACAGGTACTTTCAATTTTAAGTTACTAATAGTAGATGATAACCGCTGTAACCCTTAGTACATGTTTAAAGATTTCGCATAATAAAAACATTTCACTGTAATCGTGTTTCGAAGTTACATTGTTGTTTGTATGGTAAACTAGTTCCGCCTACGCAAAAATAAAAAATGCCACAAAATGTGGACAGTATTTATTTGTTTTAGTTTGTTTAGTTTGTTTTATCTAGTTTTAAGAAGCATGAAACGTTCGAACTTTTATGTCGGCCTCGTAATGTACGTATTAAGTAATTTATTGTTAAAGTGTTTATGTTATTAGAATTCCCTGTACTATGAGTACCAGAGGAATAGAATTCTTTCTGGGGCACAATCTAGAACACCCAGACTAGAACCAATTTAGACAAGTTCATTTCTCAATTTGGTCAACTGGGAATGGAACCCGGGACCGCCCCATAAGATAAAGTCAGTCAGTCAGTTCAGTGGCCTAACAGCATAAACTGTTAGGCCACTGAAATTGACAATGTTGAAAATATAAAATTTTTGATTTATGATTCTTTTCCAGTGATGTACAAGTATATGTCAGTAGGTGAGGAAGCAATAATGCCCAAGAAAGTGGTACAAAGCCAGTATATATCAAAAAGCGACTCCAAATTTAGGAAGATCTACATTAGAGCCTGCAATCCTCCTGAAAACATTCACAGACGTACAGAAGGTAATGTTGAGAAGTCTCAAATAATAAATAGAGTGACATAAGTGACCTGTTTTTATTCTATTTGGTCGAACACTGAATGTTAACTCTCTACTAAATACCTAAACACAGGAGAAAGAAATAAAAATGAAAGATAGAAAACGTAACTTGGTAATTTTTCTATGAAATCCAAAGCAGCTAAAATATCAAATGAGAAGTGTCTATATTAGTCTATCTATATAATTTAGGATGATCCCTGTGACAGTTCATAAAAATCTACACAATACTTTGTGTTGATTTTCATTCTCGCCTTATTTAAGAAATTAATAATAGAAATAACGCTAAATCATCTAAAATATTAAAAAAATTGTTTTGTTCAATATTCTGGCTAATTGTGTCTAGTAAAGTTTGTCAAAATTGTCTCGAAGTCATATGCACTACGCAAGGGCAGTGACTCCGCCATCCCACATCACTTATTTACCTATTTTATAAATTATGATTATGTACTAGTATTGTTATAATTTACTATTTATTTACATTAATTAGAAAAGTTGACTGAATAAAGTTTTTTGTAACTTAGATTTGGTACTTACCAACTTTAGGTTACTTGAAAGTATTGCTAGAAGTACCTAGCTCCACAGAGATTCGCACATGAGTTTTATTTCAACATTAGACTCCACAACTTACAAAACAGGAATGTCAACACTTGTATCCTCCGCCTAAACTAAACGTTTCACATCATGCCATAAGAGTAGACTTGACGCACTTGTACTACTCTTTTTTTTTGCACTATTACTAACTCTTCTTTACATACTAAACCACATGGCATTTCGTGACAGACTAGAATAGAATGTACCTATGCGGGATGTAAGCGTGATGTAGACGCAGTTAGTACGGGAAGCAAGGTCGACTGATCCACCAATCGCTCGCTCGATACGATACTACCCCGCCGTCGCTATCCGCTTCCATCACCAAATAGATCTAAAATGCATTTCTTTCTACCCTTGCGTGCACATTCAAGGTCATTGTTCGAAATGTTTGCAAGTGCCGATGCCGTGCAAGTCAATGACCTTTGGATAAAATTTGTTTACTGCATTTAAATAACAAATAGGAATTTACGAATTTTTTTTTCGATTTTTTTTTACTTGTTTGGATTTAGTTTCGGATATAGAATGACCTCTGTAAATATGGCCAGAATGCAAATCAACACATTGTCCAACCTTGTAACAACATGCACTAATTTACCTATTTCATAAACTAATTATGTATGCTTCGCTTTTAAATTTATAGCCTTTCAAGTTCTTAGGTTTTCGCGATTGTTACAAGTAGTGAATGAAACTATTTTTCCGGATTTAAATCGCGTATATTTGTTTTTTTAAACAAACTTTTGTTCACCACACTAGTTAATGTGGATCTTGCTAAAGCCACTGCCACTGTGGCCGAACAGTTACAATGCTGGACTGCCACAAAGAGGTCCCGGGTTCGATTCCCAGGCCACGAGAAATATTTGTATGGCCTACATTTATTTCTCTCGTGATTTGGGTGTAATTTGTGGTTGTCTACCTATGTGTGTGGCCATGGCATCCGCGATACAGGATTTTCCTAAGTGCGAGACTGTGAGTGTGTGAAAAAAGCAATAAGAGCCAAAAAGACATTAAAATAAATAAATTATAAATATTAGACAACATCACGTACATTGCTCAGATCCCAAAGTAAGAAAATAAAGCACTTGTGTTATGGAAATCGTAATATAACAACAGTACCAGACAATATATAAATGTTAGTTTTCTACATTGAACCGGCTGGGGATCGAACGCGGGACTTCCGAGATGGCGACACCACGAAAACCGATATGCAAGCCACTCGACTATGGAGGTCGTCGTTGCGTGTTTTGTTTTCGTCCACACTGCAAATGCGAAATGCACAATGTGGTTTTTGGTATTATTGCATGGGCATAAAGCTTTTTCTAACTTGGCTTAAGTCAATTCCGTGTTAACAAGTGACCACACTTTTTTAAGACTTCCTTAATTTAAATTTTTTTGATTAAGCTAAAAAAAGAACTATTTTCAGGTGTAGTAGACAGTGACACTTGGCTATTGCAAGGTGTGCTGGTACTGATAAGGCATGGAGACAGGGGGCCTCTGACTCATCTTAAAGGGGGTGACAAGCTACCTTGCGACACTGAACCTAACTCCGCATTGCTAAAGAGGTAAGTTTATTTGCTTATATATAATCATATTTTCTACTATTACAATATAAAGAGTCAGCAGATTAAAGCGTATATAACTGTATACAAACAAACATTTCTTGTCCCGTGTTGTTTATAATGTCGGAAAATGTGATATGAGGTTGACAAATATGTCACAATAATTTAATAATAATAATGCACACACTCATAGCCCCGTACTAGAGAAACCCTGTGTCGCGGCTGCCATGTACACACATACACAATCACAAATTGCACCCAAAATAAATGTAGACCATATAAATATTTGTCCTGGCCCAAGAATCAAACCCGGGATCTCTGCGTGGCTGACCAGCATGGTAACCGCCACAGAGGCAGTTTAAGCCGAAACAGCTGAATTTGACGACCCTGCAATAAGTATAGGCGGGCGTTTAAACGAAAAGCATTTAGAAAAGTTTGCTTTTTACAATAAGCGCACGCTTTTCATTTTAGCGTTGGTCAGTTCTATACTCAACAATTTCATTTTTCACAATGTGCCTATGTTTTAAGTAACGCCATCTATGTTTTCTAGATAAATTAATTCAACATAACGTTGCAAGTCTATGCGCTTAAACGACTTTTTAAGCTTCAAACTAAAAAGCTTTTACTAGAACGCTTTTTAAACGTATATTTTAACGTTAAAAAAATAATACCTAAGTTTTTTCCATGACAATGGTTAACAACTACAAAAGTTAAACAACTTATATTTTAGCACGCTTTGAAACGCCAATGAATAAAATGTTAATGATAATAATAATAATAATAAATTTATTTGCCATAATAATAAAACAACATGCATAGTGTACAGTAAGTAAGTATCAAAGAATCAATAGATATGACCGCTGGTACTTAAAAATAGAAAACCTGTGCTATAAGTACCAGTAAACCTTCCAATGACGTAGTAAAATTTACAATTTATTACGTTGTTTTATTTATACATTATGCAATAATAATAATAAGAACAAGTAGTAATTTGTGGAGACAGCAAATGAGTAAAGTTAAATTAAACCATGGACCAATAACTCAAGAGGACTGCTAATCTCCATATTAAAAATCGTAGCTCTGAAAAAGGTCAAAATGCCGTCTTATTCCTAGATGGCGCTGATCGATAGCCTGGAATTAGTTAATATTTACGTAAATGGCCGTGGATATCGATTAACTCCTCTTTTATAGGAAATATAGTAGATATTCTATTTTTCTTGTAATGTTTTTCAAATATTTAGTAACAAACTAAAATTATTCTCTGAACTTCGATATTTATGCGTATCAATAGATGGCATTGTTCGTTGTTAACTAATTAATAACGTAACGCTTGCGATTATCGTTAGATGGCGCTAATCCTAAACAAAATAAAAGAATACTTGGAAGTATCTATAAAAATCTGAGCAATATAGTATAACCTAAAGGAAGTCTAAATTGTCATCCGTTTGCGGTGGCGCACAGTGGGCCCAAATTGATAATTCTTGGACATAGGAATAACTTGTGGAGTATCGAGCTAATTTTTTTATGTGATAGACAAGTTATTGTAAGTTATTGTAATAAAAGTTGTTAGGAGTGTTAACTCCTAACAACTTTTATTCTTGTATGATTTCTTGAAAAGTTGATAGTTTCAGAGAAAAAAAATATAATTTTTTTTTGTGGAGAAATATACATTTTGTTCTTTATCTCAAAATATACGAAAATGTAGTGTGCGTGGGTTACTTACAGTATAGTTCCAATCATTTTCTATGTAGAAAAAAATAATCCGTCTGCATGTACTTGCGGCTTTGTAAGTAGAGGTGCGGCAAAATTGCTAACTCTTTTATGTACTTTTTTAACAAAATACATGAGCTTCGACTAAAGAAAATTTAATTTTAGTGCTAAATTACACAGAGCGTTATAACAATAACACGAAAGTTAAGTAGAAACTAGTATATTGTGTTTTATTTTTTAATAAATAACAAATCTAACATTTTGACATCTTTTTACTCGTAAAGCCGCAAGTACCTGCTGATGGATTGTTTTTTTTTCTTGATAGAGAATGATTTTTTTTTTTTTTATAACTCACACACTCAACATAGCCCCGCACTAGGGAAACCCTGTGTTGCGGGTGCCATGGACACACATAGACAACCACAAATTACACCCAAACTCACGAGAGAAATAAATGTAGGCCATACAAATATTTCTCCCGGCCCGGGAATCGAACCTGGGACCTCTGCGTGGCAGTCCGGCATGGTAACCGTTCGGCCACAGAGGCAGTTAAATAAAAAAAAAATAAAAAAGTTAAGTTAAATTGGACTTATACTGTAAATAAACCACACATTACATTTTACATACAGGCTATGGGTGACCGCTTGCGTTCTGGCACCAATTTGTCCCTCGTCCTTCCACAACACAGTTCCTAAAAATATTCGAACTCGTTCACAGTAAATGCCGCCCGAATGTGGAACCTTCTCCCGGTCGAGGTCAGACAGTCGCCTTCGGTTCGGGTTTTCAAGGGTGCTCTTTTGAAGTTTTGGGATTGTTCAGACTTCACATGTTAGAGCTTTTGAAATATTTATTTACATTTGATATATTTATTTATAGTTTTATTTTGTACATTCAATTTATTATAGACTTTGTATATATTAATGTATCAACATTACTTAATATATATATATTCGTATGTACACTTGATTTATTAAATTTATCTGTGTATTTATTGAGTATAGTATATTTCATTTCTTTACTTATCTATTTTTAGTGCCACCCCAAAAACCAACTTTCCTCTCAGATTTTCAAAGGTTAGTTGGAAGAAATCTCTTTATGGGATAAGCTCGCCTTTGTACACAAATATTTAAATTGTTTCTGAAAATTTGTAAGTTACAATAAAGTGGCTTGTGGTACAATAAAGTGTTTAAATAAATAAATAAATAAATAAATACATTTTTCTACAATTCGAGATAAAAAATAAAATGTTTATTTCTCCAAACAAAAAAAAAAACTAAAATTTTTTTTCTGAAACAATCAGCTTTCCAAGAAATTACATAACAATAAAAGTTATCAGGAATGTTATTATGTATCATGTGAAAAAAATCAGCTCTGTATTCCTAAAATTGTTTCATGATTAAATAATTATTTAGCCTAAAATTTATACTTTTTATTTCCGTTATTTTTAATTACCTTCAGATTAATTTATACTGGGTTGTTGGACTTTATGCACTGTTTGTAATGGATGACATATTACACACAGATTACACGAAGCTCATGTATTTTGTTAAAAAAGTACATAAAAGAGTCAGCAATTTTGCCGCACCTTTATTTACAAAGCCGCAAGTACATGCAGA